AGATGATCTTTTGAGGTCCCTCCCAACTCCTAACATTCTGTGATTCTGTATAGGAGACCAAAGCAGGTGGATAGTTGGTAAAAACATTAAAGACCCAAAGGTGAAAAAAGAAAACAAAAAGTAAAGGCTGCAGGAGAGGAACATGAATCCCTCCTCATGTTTAGATAGAAGATCCTGAGTTCAAGTTTGTGCTTATTAGCTCTTATCCTGTTGCTGGGCACCACTGAAAAAAGACTGGCCTGATCCTCCTGATACCCACCCCTTCAGTGTTTATAAGTGTTGATAAGATCCCCCCTCAGTCTTCTCCAGACTAAAAAGTCCTAATTCCCTCAGCAGGTCTCCATAAGAGAGATGTTCTAGTGCCCTGGTGATCTTTGTAGCCCTTTGCTGTACCCTCTCCAGCAGTTCCCTGTCCTTGTTGTCCTATCTGATCTCTCATAAGATCTTTCTAAACAGCAGAGTCTCATTACAGGAATGGTACACCGTTTTCGATCACTACCGTCGCACAAACTGCGTAGTGTCAGACCTCATTATGGGAAATGAGTACTTTTTTCGAATCTTTAGTGAAAATCTGTGTGGATTGAGTGAAACTGCTGCAACCACAAAAAATCCTGCCTATATCCAAAAAACAGGTAATATTCTTCAAAACCATGCTCACAAAAGCTGTTAAGTACGAAGTAATCCATTGGTAAATGGAAATTACAGTATTACTAGATGCACCGCTAGAGATATTTTCATTGCTTAGTAACTAGCACTCAAAGTATTTTAGCATCGTGAGTCCTTACCTGTGCAGATCTCCTGGACTAACTTGAGCATCTGTTCAAAAATATTTAACCACACTGTCTTTCTAAACTACATTACTTTAAGAAAATAATACAACTGGGAGGTTATATTTACATTCTGGGGTTAAAAATCCACTATGTCTGTGATGAAGGCTTCCCCTGCAGACATATGGTTTTCATATTTTTAACAGAAGCTGACAATCCACGATTGCCAGGACCTTTTATTCTAAATAAAGCATTAAACAAGAGGTAAATTTTAGAGTGAAGTGAATTTAAAGATTTGTTACATCCTAAATGCCATAGCTTTGAAGCTTCTCTAAATCATACAGGCAAGTTAAACGGCAAATAGATTGTACACAAGTCAACAGAATTGAAAACACAGTTCTTACTATTTTGTCTCTTTGAATTGCAGGCACCACTTACAAGCCGCCTAGTTACAAAGAACATGACTTCTCCGAACCTCCTAAATTCACTCACCCTCTAGTAAACCGTTCTGTGATTGCAGGATACAACACCACCCTCAGCTGTGCCGTAAGAGGAATCCCCAAGGTAGAGATTACATCAACTGCCACTGATACTGGTGCAACAAGCCAAAACGCTGCCTTAGAATTCATGCCAGTTCAATGTGGCTGGAGTGAAGAGCAGCTATATTAGGGAAAAGTTTAAAAGTCACTCAGTTGTCTTCCACCTCACTCATAACTGGTGCTTAACTAGAACGCATGGAGCAAGCACTGGTGTGGTTGTGCACAGAGCCAGTGGGGCAACATGGTAAAGAAGACAGAGGAAAGGAGAGTCATGGCTCGTGGTAATGCCACGCCTTTGAGAAGGGACTGCGCGTCCATAAAACTTACTCACTAAAGAAGGCAAATAACAACAAAAGCATCTTCTCACAACATTTTTGTTCTCTTCAGTCTTTTAAGAGAATAGCAGCTAATGTAATATACTTCCACATAATATGCATCAATACATCCACATAACTTTGAAAGTCTGAACTATTTTGCAAAATGAAAGATAAGACCTGCTGTCACACATGAAGTTTTGGGGCTTTTTTCCTTTTTTTTTTTGTAATATCATAGGAATATTTCCTCAGTCTAAATATGTTTGTTGAGGTCTCTTCAAAGTCAGGAACAAGCAGTAAAAACTGTATCAACTAGGAACTAAATCTAGGTTTCTTAAAAAAGGGAAATAGGCTTTTTGTCTGCAGTAAACAGATTTATCATATTATGACATAATCTTGTCATAAATCTAAATTAGTACAAATTGCAAAAAGCAAAAAAACAGAATGCAAAAAACCAAAAAGCAAAAAACAAAAGCGGCTCCATAGATTTTTGAATGTGCAGTGTATTAGGTTTGGTGTTTGGGGTTTTTTTTTTTGTTTTTTTTTTTAATGGGTGAAGAAACAGAACATGTTAATTCTGGAAGTAAAGCAAATGAATGCAGAGCTTGGACTTCTAATCTTTAGAGCCTATTTCTTCACTATGTGTTCTAACAAGCTTGAAATAAACAAACATAGTTTATTTCATATCAGATTTTTCATTTTCAAAGTTACATTTCTAAAAATTAAAGACATTTTCAGGTACCAGAAACAAAACACACTATATGGAACTGGTACAGAGCCAACCACTTTATTGCTCAGCTGAAGCCAACAGGAACTTTGGTTTGAAATTCTGAAGTTGCTAAAGATACGTTAAATAGATTGGAAAATCCTTTCCCAGCCAAAACATTGAGCATCTCAAGTTGGCCACCTAACATCCACAGACCTTTATGACACTTCTGCTCTAATAATCCGCACAGTTTAATTCTCCTTCCATAAGATATTTGTAGTATTCACATATATTCTAATAAGCACAATTAAGTAATTCCTGAAGGAAAAAATTTGTAGCTGGTTTGTAGGGTTTTTTTAAATTTCAGTGAAATAGGGTAAACACCTACTTTTTTTTGAGAGCTAAAAAAACCAACATCTGAATTATTAGTTTCCTGAGTTAGTAATGAACGAGGTAACCTCCTTGAAAAATTATTAACTCTGCTGTGCTCTCATAATGCATAACCCTTGGTGGCTAAATTAAAACTGTAAGATCGGCCCTAAATCTTCCATCTTCTATTCTAAAATTTTTCTTTTGTGTTCTTCAGCCAAAGATATTCTGGTACAAAAACAAAATGGATCTCTCCGGGGATGCCAAATACCGCATGTTCAGCAAACAGGGAGTGTTGACCCTTGAGATCCGGAAACCTACTCCCTTTGACGGTGGCTGTTACACCTGTAAAGCTGTTAATGAGTGTGGTGAAGCTGAAATAGAGTGCAGACTGGACGTCAGAGGTAATCAGATTAATCTTATGGATAATGATAATACTGCAAGGAAGAAAAAGTAGCAGATAGCTTTAAAAAAATTTAAAAATAAATCATAGTTCCCCTTTATCTAACTTGACTTCTTTGGTGGTATGTAAGGAGTTTGTTAATTACACACACCAGCAAGATCGTGTTCCTCATTCTCAAGTGTTTTGATAGAATTAGGTTACTTACGAGGTAATACAGGTCTGAAGGTGGACAACTATTTTCCTTCTGATTGAATATTTCTAAAGGTAACACATAGCACAGGAATGATCTATCTGCAAACACTGCATTATGATGATAAAATTATCTTTTGTGCTAAACTCTGTAATTAAAAGTTTTAAATTAAGTAATTAGCTGTAATTAAGTAATTAAGGTAGCACTTCAGGTAATTAGCTGATAAAGATAGTGCATGCTACATGACAAGCATTTTTCAAACACTAATAATTTGTTTGTTTAAAGGGTCTGGAAGGAAAAAAGTCACGTATTTATAACACAGTCAGAAATATTGATTAAATATTTTGGTGAATGTGCTAGAAATGTATCTCTTTGACAATACAAACAGATATGGCTCAAAACTAAATAGTATCATCTTCTGAATGCTTACTTGAGGAACATTAAATCTCCTTGGAATCATCAGGTTAAGGCAACTACTATAAAGCTTCCATATTTCAGCTTCAGCACCAAGTCTCAGTTTAAAATTCTTATCCTGCCGTGTCTGATATAATTTTTTTTTTTTAATGTTCTCCAGCACCTCAGTAAAACCCCGAGCCTCAATTCACCTGCAAGTCAAGGTATGAATCACAAGAACTCCAGCTGGATAAAGGAGCAATGGCTTTTTGGTTCGATATAAGATTAAACAGTCAGTAGATACTCATGTTAGAGACTTCATGGAATTTTTATAATGTTGGCAGGGAGCCCAGATGATATTCCAAGGTCCCTTCCAATCCCTAACATTCAATGAATCTATGATTCTATGTGTGCTTATTTTGATTCAAGATCACAGGTAACTCAGTTTATATTAAAGTCAGGATTTCGTGGGTCTCGACCTTTAATCTGTAATAATAACAGAATACTTTGTTGACTTTTTCTTGACTCGCTACAAGCACTCCCTCTAGGAGACTGGGTTTTTTATTAATATAGAGCTAACTAGTATCAATAATTTGTGTGCATTACTTTATCAAAACAAGCAGAGTTAAAATTGCAATGCATCTAGAAGTGTGATGTATATTTTAGATTTTAAAAAAGAAATACCTATAATAAACCATCAGGTAACGTATTTGATAAGAAATTCTTCTCCCCATTCTCTGTCTCAGCACAGAATGGAACTTGGAAAGAAGAAAACTGAAGAAAATAATGATGGATATTTGCAGTTATATTTAGGATTACTGCTCATCTTAAAAGCTATTTAGTATCTGTGTACTAGAAGTTGGCAGCATCCTGTAGTGTCTTGCTAACTCAAGATATATTTTCAGACAATATTTCATGGTTTTATGCATCTGTTTTAGTTACATCATGCCTGTCTCCAAGTGAAGAAATTCAAGGAGGTCAAGATAAAACTTCCCCCCATTACATACATAATACATGACTGAAAAAAAAAACAAACAAGTTACATACAGCCCATTCCTAATGTCTGAAACAAACAGACAGTTGCAAGAAAAAGTCTATGAACCTTTTGGAATTTCATTGACTTCTGCGGTAATTTGTCATAAAATGTGATCTAAGCACGGCTTTCATTCCTACTGCTGTTACTGGCAGTACCTGAAATACCCACTTCTCTGATCTTGAGCAGATCTCTGCAGAACCACATCTGAAACACACCATTTGGGAATCTCTGGCTAAAGCTACTCTTCTACTTCATATAAAAAATAGTTTCTTTGATAATTACTCATTACTAGTGTTCTAATTTTTGCAGAGACACTAGTATAGAATTCCAGTATAGACATCATCCTGATCTACAGAGATAACTTTGTACATCAGATGAAACAGTGAAAGATGTAGAGAGGGAGATTATTTGTAGAGAGAGAGATATATTGTTTTGAAGTCTTTAATCTAATGAGAGTCAAAGAAATGCCTCTTAAAAAAAAAATCTAGCCAAGATGCTACTTCTGCAAGTACTTCATGCAGGGTAGTGCAAAAAAATCTAAATCTATAGGGCCTTCTCAGGTAAAGTTGTGCTTCTATATGAAAAACACGAATTAGTTTTAACTTCTGAAACTTTAAATGACAAGGAGTGAACCTGAGTAGCTACCAAAAAAAGCAGCACACTTGTTAGGTTTCTAAAAGTTACTCTTAATAACCATGGATTCTGAGAAATAAAAAAAAAAATCAAAACAAAAAGTTGTGATGAAGGCAATAAACGTACTGTCATCAAATCTTACTGAAGGCTTTTCAAAGTCTATAAAAGGTATGCAAGTATTTTTACAGATAGTTTTGTCTAATTAGATGACAAAACAGCACTCCTGGCTTCTCACCTACTAGTGTGAACAGTGTTTGGGGTGAGGGTTTTGGGGGTTCTGTAGTAGTTGTTAGCTGTTTCTGGCTTTTTCATGATCACAGTAGAAGAGAAGGTGGAAAGATGAAAGTAACCCAGGAAGCACTGCCTGTGGGAAGAACCAACACAAAGGAACTGAAACAATAACTACTCCTCTGCCTCCAATATGCCAGCTGAGATGGGAAAGTGTATGTGACACACAGCGGTAGTTGTACTAAACATGCAAATACATCTTCATCATGAAAACACTGAGAAAATATGTGCATTTTGATTATTTTATTAAGGTATCTGAACAAAGAAAGGTACTCCTCTAAAACGAAAGTCAGCTTAACATTTATCTGTTGCATATTCAACAATAAATAAAAACCAGTGGAAAATAAACAAGTTTACATTGTTTTCCACTTCCATTTTTCTGAGCCATGTCAGAGACATTCGACGTTTTAAAAGAAGCTATGACCAGGAAGCAGAAGACAAAGGATCATCCCAGCACCTATGTGACAATGTCTGTGGAAAAGCAGAGACCGAATTGCAACAGCTTAGGTAACAAAGGACCAGTTGCCCTAGGGAGAGTTGGTTCTATACTGAACACATCCTATTATCAGAAAAGCACTTCAGGAAGAGAGTAGACTTTCGCGCTGTGATAGGGTACAATACCAGAAGAATACAAAAATAAAACAAGTCACTAAGAAAATTATATTTTTCTACACAGTTCTTAGCAATTCGACACATACAACGTTGCTGGGAAAAGTGGTGCTTTCACGAGTGAAGACTTATTTGACCTCTCGGCTGTGAGAAGCAGTATACCACAATACATATATATCACTGTTAGGCAACCATTTTTTCATGAAATTTCATTGTTCAAATGGTCTTCAAGTATGAAGATCTACCACATATACATATATAAAAATAAATCTCCAGTGCTCACAAATTTACTTTCAATTTTGAAGTCTTTAATCTAACGACAGTCAAAGAAATGCCTCTTAAAAAAAAATCTAGCCAAGATGCTACTTCTGCAAGTACTTCATGCAGGGTAGCGCAAAAAAATCTAAATCTATAGGGCCTTCTCAGATAAAGTTGTGCTTCTATATGAAAAACATGAATTAGTTTTAACTTCCGAAACTTTAAATGACAAGGAGTGAACCAAACCCAAACCCGAGTAGCTACAAAAAAAAAACCAGCACACTTGTTAGGTTTCTAAAAGTTACTCTTAAAAACCATGGATTCTGAGAAATCAAAGTGCTAACCACTCACACATTGAAAAGAGGAAGAGGGGGAAGGCACACCTGCAAGATCTGAAATTTCCATGATTGGTTCTGGAAAGGTCTTCAGAAAAGCACAGATGTCTACTGATATTTTGCATACAGTATTGTCATTTAGCTGTTCCATGGCTGATATGGATCCTGAATGTATAATTAACTAACTGCCCATTAATTCCCCGTTGTTAACAAGTAAATTACTCCCACTCTGATTAAAACCACATAAATTGAGCAGTTTCTCCCAATCCTAGCTGGCTGGAGACCAAGCATCTGACAATTTTTCTCCATTACACCTGGAAGACTGCTTGACAAAAGATGATTTTAACTATCTTTGTCTGCAGAAATCAGACAGACTTATCTCTCAATGCCATGGCAAGTATTTTTACCTTGTAGTTGTTAAATACTGTTAGAAATAAATGTGCAAGGTAAGGTCTGGATCTCATTCTCCCTGACAGCTCCAATTCAGATATGATGCTCACACCACACAAATCCATTTTGGACTATTACCTCTCTCCTCCCCAGCCTACCTGCCTGCTTTGCTCTCTTTCAAAACCAAAACCCTCTGCCCTGCCCAGCCCCTGCAACCTCCCAAAGCCGACGCCAACTGCCCAGATGCTGCATCGGGGAGCTGTATCACAGCGCTCAGCCACAGTGCCGGGGTCGAGATGAAAAGCTGGGAAAGAAGGTCCTTCCACAGTAACTCCACCCAGCAGCGCTGGCTGGCGAGCAAAGGACCACAAGATGGGGACTTGGGCAGATGTTGTCCGTGCCCATATCTCTAGTGCACAGAGATGTGAGGGCTTGCATGTAGAAAATGCATCTGTCCACGTACTTCTGCAGGGGATAAAGTGCCTGCTGCCTAACAGAAACCCGTTCTATTGAATGCCGTCCTAGTCCTTCAAGACATGAAATATTGTCTAGTAGCTCCCAGCTTTTTGAGACAGTGAGGGGAAAAAAAAAAAAGAGATTAATTTACTCAGGTTTGTAAAGTGTTCTGAAGCCACAAGATGGAAAGTGTCACAGGCAGGCATACTGAGAGTCATCAAAAATTTGATTCGATGGCATTTTTAGTACCAATTTTCCCTTTCTGTCCTGGCAGAACAGTGCCGTTCCTGTACGCAAACCCCACTCATTCCTTATTACTATTCCAGCTGATGTACCACTGTGATCACAGGCAGAGACCTCTAATATATTTAGGGTCACCAATATCATATTTTACCTTCTGTTTGCACTTGCTCAGATGAGAGATTTCAATCATCTCTATTCAAGGAACATTAAGAACCACAACATATCTCAGGTCATCTAAAATCTCCTCTCCAGTGGAGGATCACGCATCTGTCTGCTGCCCCGCTTTGTTTATATCTAATCCAACTGAGAGTGTTTTGAGCAGCAGAAATGTTCTCCTTTCTCTCAGCAGACCCGAGAAAAGCCTGACAGAGGAGCTGTCCTCGAGACTTGTTGCCTGTGTGAATAGCCTGATTTTTTTATTTTATTTTTTTAAATGTTATTCCTTTATATCTAACCATAACCAGGTACCTTCTTGGAGGCTGATGCAGAGGGACTGAGAGGGTGAGCAGCACCACAGGACCCATCATGCCCTTAGCCCTCTAGGTGAATTTCCCAGAGAGAAGCGGAGCCCTTAAGAATATCTGGGCTCAATACATTTCTAATATGAAAACAAAAAATAAAGAAAAGCTGAAAATGGAATTTCTCCCGCTTAGTTGCCCTGGTCTTACATTCTCTCTAACTGCTGCTGGCTGCTGTCAGAGACCAGACCCTGGATTAGATGAGACCTGACCCAGCCCAGCAGCTCCCGGGAGCCCCTTCCACAGCTGAGATAAGCCCTTGGGGCTTTAGGCTCTGTGGGTCCTGAGTTTGGGTTGATTTAAAGGGTAGAAGAGGCTCTGCTGGAATTAAGCTGCTCTTTAAAATTTTAAATCTTAAATGCAACCCTCATCACAGCTTCCTCCCACTTCACTGCTTGTTTGCTTTGGGGCGCCGATGGTGGCATATTTTGCAAATGACTCTTC